GGCCGCCGCGATGGGAAGCCAGCGACTAACCGCTTGAGCTATGGCGCGGTCTTCGGTACACTGAAACTAAGCCTTGCGTGCTTATCTTTTCTGAGAACAGTCACAATAATCATAAAAACTGATAAATAATATTAGTTTATTTTGCTTATATCAACTTCTTATTGTTGCGTAATGTAATACGGGGAAATTTAACAGGAATCAGAGAAAGTTCCATGAAATAAAGAAAGATACTATTAAATTACGATTCTCGCACCCAAAAGCACTGAATAGGCGAAGATAGGTTGAACTATATACAAGCATTTTAATAAGATTATACCAAATCTGTCTAAGATCTAAAGTTTATAACGATGGTACATTGGTACAAATATTATGCTTTTGGACATTAACCACCTTCTTGTCTCTATCTAAAATCCGTCCTGTTTATTTTTCAAACTACAGCGTTTCGGAGACTGGATTCTGTCTCTGTCCTCACGTAAAATCTACTCAGTTGGGCCCAATAAATAGAACTATTCCCTATCTCCGGACATCTATGCCAGTTTCAAGAAGGGGTACATAAGTCAAACACAGCACAAACCATCTGGGAGAGCTAAGAAAATATTCAATTATTGAAACTCCACACGTATGAGGCCTTGCACCAGAGAAGTATCACGACTGATTATTGCTGGACAGAAGCAATACTCCTTGTGGTACCAACACAAGAAAAACAAATAGTTTCCACTCCAACTACACTTGACGGCGTTGTAATCTCTTGAATTTTGCTGTGATAATGGGGGTCCAGATGGGAGAGATGTCCACGCTGGGTTGACTGGGTGGCATTGGATGCTACACACTGCTTCGTCAGCTGTGTATTTCCAACAGGTCAACTTTTCGTCAATATCCCACCGAGGGTATGTTTAGTCTCGAAGATGGTTCTGACATGGAAACGGTTGGCATTCCATGCGACTGCGGCAGATGTTACATCGGCGAAACAAGCAGACCTTTAGAAGTACGCATTAAGGAGCACAAATATAACCGGACACAGGGTTTGCTGAAAGAAATCAAAATTAGCCCAACATGCATACGAGGAAGACCACAAAATTTGATGGAATGAAGCCAAGGTCTTGCAGATCGAGTCCGACACCACATACAAGAAATACAACGAATCAGCCCACATGTCTCTGCTGGACCATCCGGTCAGTCAACCCAATGCAGACAACTCTCCAATCTTGACTCCCGTCATCACAGAAGAAGTCAAGAGACTACAACACCGTCAAGTGTTGTTGGAGTGGAAATTATTTGTTTTTCATGTGTTGGTAAGACAAGGAGTACTGCTTCTTTCCAGAAATGATTTCATTCGAGATACTTCTCTGGTGCAAGGCCTCATACGTGTGGAGTTTCAATAATTGAATATTTTCTTAGCTCTCGCAGATGGTTTGTGCTGTGTTTGGTTTATGTACCTCTTCTTGAAACTGGCATAGGTGGCCGGACACAGAGGCTAGCTCTATCTATTGGGCCCAACTGAGTAGGTTTTACCTGAGTAGAGAGACAGAATCCAGTCTCCGAAACGCTATGTTCTGAAAAATAAACAGGACGGTTTTTAGATAGACAAGACGATGGATAATGTCCAAAAACATTTATGTCCATCCGTCCATCTATCCATCTATGGCTCTACAGCCCTCTGTTTGATCTTAGCAATTTTTTTTCAGTTTCTTGATCTTTTTACACATTCTGTAGGACTCCTTAGACGAGAGATCAGCCCGTCGCAAGGTCTCTATCTACAAACAAAACAACACAAACACGGAGTAAATGCATACAGATCCATGCATCGGGTGGGATTCGAAACCACCATCCCAGCGTTCGAGCGGGCGAGGACAGTTCATGCCTTAGACTGCGCAGCCACTGTGATCGGCAAACCAAACAATACTTACTTACTTACTTACTTACTCATGGAGCTGAGCCCTTCTGGAGGAGCCGCCAATTCTGCAGCTACTCAAGAATTTCCCACCACTTTATGGAAACCGAGGGTTCATTACCGTGTTCACAAGAGCCCTCCACTGGTCCCTATCCTGAGCCAGATCTATCCAATCCATACCATCCCATCCTATCTCTCTAAGATCCATTCTAATATTGTTCACCCACCTACGCCTTGGTCTTCCTTATGGTCTCTTTCCTTCTGGCTTTCCCACCAATATCCTATATGCATTCATCTTCTCTCCCATTCGTGCTACATGACCTGCCCACCTCATTCTCCTTGACTTGAACATTCTAATTATACTTGGCGAAGAGTACAAGTTATGAAGCTCCTCATTATGCGCTTCTCTCCAACTTCCTGTCACTTCATCTCTCTTCGGTCCAAATATTCTCCTCAACACCCTCAGTCTATGTTCCTCCCTTAATATTAGAGACCAAGTTTCACACCAAACCAAATAATACTAAACCAAAATCACACAACCAGAGATCTCGTCGAACAAAGAGGACTGTTCTTCTCTAAGTTTGCATACTGAATGTACAGGCATGTTGTGCCTTCAAGAATTCTTTAGGCGGAGTACAGGTTTCTGAAGCATCAGATTATGATTATATGTATAATAGGCATACATCGCTTGAAATTTTTGTTGTATATCACATAACGTACATTAGATACATGGGATCGGTGGTGGTTAAATATTGACCAGACAGAATCAACGATTTAATAACCAATTATTTCGTATCCTAGTTGAACATAGCTCAAGAAATTCAACCTCTGCCTTTTGTTAGCAGCGGAGCATGACACCATGCTCCACCGCCTCTTCGGGTGAGGAACATTAACTCGGGAAGTTTTAAGTTCTAATACAGGTTCGTTTTTGTGGGACTTGGAAAGTGTGCGTTGAATGCCACGCAGAGGTCATGTGCACTTACACGTTCCATGAAAGGAGCCAGAGTAATCGGCTGGGACTTCTCAATTGTCTTCATTCTTTCTATATTCTACTTGTGCAATGATCTGTCTGTCTTCTGTGTTAGTAAGATTATTCGCAATGGAGAACGTGACCATTTTTTAAGGCCTAGCACTCTGTATTTTTGTTCTTGTCTGTTATGTCGTCATATACCTGAGTCTGAGCATGACCCCGCAGAAAGTGCATGCAGGCGTGTTGCATAAGTCAGGACGCTGGCAGAAGATGGTGGCCGTCAGTGTGGCTCTCTGACAATGGGGGTGGGGGGATGTTGAAGAGGTGTTCGTATTCAGCGTGAACGAACGCCTGTAGACGTCAGGACGCGAGGCTAGGATTGGTCAAATATTTTCGTTACATGTATTTTTCCAAACTGCCTGTACCATTGAAGTTATTTGCCACCAATTGTTAATTTAGGTCTACTGACATTACAGTTCGATAAAAACTTCGGAATAATCTCTTAGCTTCGTCATGTCCCTCTATCAATATGAAAAAAATCCACGGTTCTCATTGGCTGGATTTTTGTTATATTTTATATTGAGAAGTTTTACTAAAATATATAATTTTTTTATTGCTAGTGGAGTGGGACAATAACACATGCCCTAGGTAACAGGGGGTGACAATGTGGGTAGTAGTATTACGGACAGACGAATAGGAAGAAATGGTAAAACCAACAGGCGCTTCTCTAGAATTTTGAGAACGTACCTTAACATTTGTGTCCTAGCGAAAAGTGTCCTTTTTTTTTATTAAAACCAAACTTCAATTGTGTTCATAGATTTTATTAGAGGCGCGTCATAGCTCAAGCGGTTAGTAGCTGGCTTTCCACCGCGGCGGCCCGGGTTCGATCCCCTGTCTGGTCAAGTGGGATTCGTGGTGGACAAAGTGGCGCTGGGGTAGGTTTTCTCCGAGTATTTTGATTTCCCCTGCCAATCTTCATTCCACCAATTGCTCCACAATCACCATCACCTATCATCTGGAGCTGGTACAATAGGCCAGAAGTTGCCGCAGTACAAGGGACTTAGTCCCACCCCACTAGCAATAAAAAAATACTTTACGACTGGCGGTTTACCGCCAATCACTTCGTCCTGGAGCAAGTCCCTTGAGACCCACGATCAGTACATTTTTTCATCTGAACACTTACTGATATGGTTCTTATGTAACATCCTCTCTGACTAGAGGCTGGTTCTGTCATTTACAATTACTCCTGGCCCTCGTCATCACAGTCATTCTCGGATCAGATTCCCGCAGGACTCATGACCATAGTTTACTGTCTCAGATTCTAGACTCCCCAACTTGGAGGGACAAGTCCCAATATTTATATCCCCACCAACATGGTGGTCCCTTTATACCCCCACGAACTGGGTTCCCTTTTCGTCGCCTCCTACGACTCGCAAGGATAGAGTGGAGCCATGCGAACTCGCACCTACACGGGGTAACTGACTCAGTCAAAGTTAAAGTTACTTTACGAATGACAGTTTACCGCCAGTTTGTCTTGAAGTCAAGTCCCTTGAGACTCATGCTTGGGTTACCCCAGTTGTCTTCAAGATATCTCCTCGGCACGGACCACACAGACAACAGCTCCTCTATTGTTATAGTGGCGTGTTTTCCGGGCAATTGTATTGCAAAGATTGTGACGCGGACCAAATAGAAAACACATTTCTCCTATCGTTGTATGCGTGTATGTTGCGGGCATTACCTAGCAACGGCAGCTGTTTACAGTCACTGCTTAGTAACGGATCTATGCTCTGGAATGTAAACACACACTATGTGCAGGATATAGCGTTTGTAAATTTTAAAACAAGTGTTTTGAAGCGTTATGCATTGTATCACTTCTCATTCTACGCTATATAAGATTGTCTGCTGATAGAGAGTCGTGAAATAACATAATAAACAGGAAAAGTTAGAGGAATTTAGCAACAAGCATATATGAAATGCGACGCCCGACATCCCCCGGTGTGGAATTGTGGGTAAGCATTGCCTGCTGAGGGTGGAGAGGGGAGATTACAGCAACCGGAATTACGGTTACTTGAGGTCACGTGGTACGCTCAGGTTGATGACAAGAGAAGAAAGACAACGTGAACTCACTGGTGCTGCAGCTTCGCGCCGGTTAGGACTCCAACCGCTGCGGATAACAATAAAGAGACAGGTAAGTGCCCTCAGTAGCGTGACATCAGCCGGTACAACGATAACTCAATTGACAAAAAATTTATTCAGCTATACAGATCTCTTCTGATAATTAAAGTATTTTATCCTTGAAGAATATAATTTTATATGTAACACCGTATATTTTTGTAAAAGTTCATTTCCGTTTTAGAGGAATACACTGCTTCCATCTTCAAAAATAGAAGAGTTTTTTTTTATTGCTGGTGTGGTGGGACTATATCCCTTGTACTGCGGCCACTTCTGGCCTATTGTACCAGCCACAGATGATAGGTGAGGGGGATTGTGGAGCAATTGGTGGAATGAAGATTGGCAGGGGAAACCGAAGTACTCGGAGAAAACGTGCACCAGCGCCATTTTGTCCACTGACCAGACCCGGGATCGAACCCGGGCCGCCGCGGTGGGAAGCCAGCGAATAACAGCTAAAATAGAAGAGTTAGTCTAGTAATATATTTGTAGTATTTTGCTTGCTAATCGAAACCTGATTCAGGAGGAAATTAAGAGAAGATTGATTTCGAATAATGCTTGTTACCATTCAATTCAGAATATTCTGTCTGCTCCTCCGCTGTCTATGAAACTAAAAATTAAAATATATAGAACTATAGTTCCGTTTGTTGTTCTGTACGAGTATGAGTGTGGAACTTGGTCTCTGACATTAAGGGAGGAACATAAACTGAAGGTGTTTCAGAACAGGGTGTTGAGGAGAATATTTGGACCTAAGAAGGATGAAATAGAAGTAGGTTGGAGAAAACTGCTTAATGAGGGGCTTCATAACTTGCATTGTTGGCCAAATATAATTAGAATGGTCAAGTCAAGGAAGATGAGATGGGCAAGATACGTAGCACGAATGGGGAGAAGAGAAATGCACATAGAATATTGGTGGTAAAGCCAGAAGGAAAGAAGACCTAGACATAGCTAGGCTAATATTGAAATTGATTTTAGAGATATTGGATGTGGTGGTATGGATTGGATTAATCTCGCTCACGGTAACGACCAGTGGAGAGCTGTTTTGAAGACGTTAATGAACTATCTGGTCTCGTAAAATGTTTGGAAATTCTTGGGTTGCTGAGCGACAGGTGGCTTCACACGAAGGGCGCTAGTTTGCGTTTTGCTCATTCTTAGACCCTGAAGATGGAGGCAGTAAGTTCCTCTGAAATATCTGTAGTCTTTTACCAGACTGCACGTCATCACAATATTGAAGACAGAGTTATCGCAATATATCACTTGTTACCAAACTTTCTTCTCAAACTAATGTTTGTTGAAAAGCAGAAAATATTTGAGACCACAGAAATTTCTCTTTAGACATTACTGTGCGTACAGAGGTTTTATGGTATTTAACAAACATATATCCTCACTTTTTAAAGTTGTAGCTAAATATTTTACAGACATAATTTATTATTTATGTCACAGTGCATTCAGCTGTGACAACAATGTAAGGTGATCAGAATATATCACAGTAATTCAAATGAAAGAACATTCGAATTCATGCCGGCATTGTAGGTTACTGCAATCCCGTTTCAAAAACTGTTATTTATATAATTTTTCTGTATTCGTAGCATTTACTGTTATGTATCTCTTTTTTAGTTTATCCAATTTATTGACGGCTTGTGGTACAGTTAACGCTAGAGAATAGCATTCGGAAGATACTGTGTTCGAAACTTTACAGGGACACCCTCTATCTTGACTGAGGTGTATTACTAAGGTAGCCAGATGTGTTAGGACACAAGATATCAAACGTGTGTTACTAAGGCAGTGAGATGTGTGAGGACACACTAAATCGCACATGTGTTTCTAAGATAGCGACATGTTAGGACATACAAAATCAGACGTGTGTTGCTAAAGCTGTGCGCTGTGTTATGGCGTACAAAATCAGGTGTGTTTATTAAGGCTGAATGTTGTTATGATATATAAGATTAGGCGTGTTGTTAATGCATCATGATGCGTTTTCATACAAAACCAGACTTCTGTTACTAACGCAGCATGAGGGTATGACACTTAAACTTCCGCTGAGCTGGTCCTGAACACATAGATCCAGGAACAATAACCGCCAGTTTCTATGGTCGGTGATTTTGCCCGGAAGTACAGGTAAACGGGGGGGGGGGATGTAAGCCGAAAAAGGAAATAAAGTAGCCATATTTACTACGTTATAACAGATTCGTCAAATAAACATAATCTTTTATTCTTTCTCATTATAATTAAATTTAGAGACTCTTTTGAGGAACTTATCCTTATCGCTTTTGAGGAAGTTTACTCAGGAATTTCTAGAATCTGTATACTGTGGCTGGAGTAGAAACTCATTCCGAATCAAGTTTTTCGTGTGAAATTTTTTAAGAGTACGATGAAGATATGCATCGCTATTATCAACTATAATAATGTGCTATTATAATTGTACGTAAAGTTATCTCTGTAACAGGCCGTGGTGGCCCGTTAAGTTGTGAGACGTCGAGGCTCCCACATCTTCTAGACAATCTGCTCACAGATGGCGGTGAGGTTGTCAGGCTTACCCGCCGACGGCCCTTTACACCCGGGAAGATTCCTGGCACTCATTTCTGTTAGTGGCTGCGTCGAACTCAGGGCCATAGTGCGACTGGAAGTGTTAGGTCAATTAAAAAAACTAGTGAACTCATCGGGAAATGAACCCCCGACCTTCCAGCTTGTAGCATACTGTCTCAACCAACTACGCTACCGCGCGCCCCCAGTGTGCTCTTATAGGCTGGGTTAGAAGTTAATGGCATTTTAAGTCCATGTCCCATACCGTGTCATAGCGTGGTGCCTATACCAATGATAAGGTCACCCTAATAATAATAATAATAATAATAATAATAATAATAATAACAATAATAATAATAATCATATTGGTTACTTTTAGTAATAACAAAACAAAAATAACTAGGAACCACGCCTTTGAGGTACAAAGAGGAGTGGGGAGTCGAGGTAGAACTCCATATATATGCATAATATCCGCTGTAGACGGAGGTGATCAGCTTACCGTTCCGACTGCTTTAAACCCAAGGAAAGACTACGCGGTTCCCACTGGCTAGAAGGGAACTTGTGCCTCAGATCCTGTCTATAAGTGACGACAGAAGGCAAATATACATAGGCAGGACCGTGTGCCTTTATCAGAAGCTTTCACTTGGTTTGTCCTGTCAAACAAGTATCATGTCTTAAGTCGCTTATAGCCATATTGCTTACTGATGGAGCTGAGCCCTTCTGGAGGAGTCGCCAATTCTGCAGCTACTCAAGAATTTCCCACCACTTTATGGAAACCGAGGGTTCATTACCGTGTTCACAAGAGCCCTCCACTGGTCCCTATCCTGAGCCAGATCTATCCAATCCATACCATCCCATCCTATCTCTCTAAGATCCATTCTAATATTGTTCACCCACCTACGCCTTGGTCTTCCTTATGGTCTCTTTCCTTCTGGCTTTCCCACCAATATCCTATACACATTCGTCTCCCCGATTCGTGCTATATGCCCTGCCCACCTCATTCTCCTTGACTTGATCATTCTAATTATACTTGGAGAAGAGTACAAGTTATGAAGCTCCTCATTATGCACTTTTCTCCAACCTCCTGTCACTTCATCTCTCTTCGGTCCAAATATTCTCCTCAACACCCTGTTCTTAAACACTCTCACTCTATGTTCCTCCCTTAATGTAGGAGGNATTCAATATTTCGTAAGAAAAAAAAAACACCCAAATAATATTCACATCACTGCCACAATAATAAAACAGAACACAAGAAGAAATAATAGAAAAGATTACGGCACATCACTTTCAAATTATTTCGACAAGAATCCAACCTTTTTTAAACGAAGTTTTAGACTTACACGTCTCCAATGTCATGACATATTGAATAAAGTGTAACAGTTTATGCAAACCATTACATACATTACGTTAAACCCAAGTCGTATATATATGAAAACATGGAGTAGGTGCTGTTCTAACCAACAGCTACGATACTGCTGCATTTATAAGATTGTATTACACACAAACGTAGCACCCAGAATTACTGCGTTTTGGGCTTTGCCCATCCTTCGGTATTATAAAAACTAGAGAACACAACGTTTCTGAAAATGTATCTGTTTCCGTCTTCAGGTGAGTGGGGAAGGCACCTACTCAATTGGGTCTCTTTGAAAGAGCTAACATCAGTTACTGGATGACCTCTTTCTAAGAGATCCAACTAAGTAGGTGTCTTCCCCCCCTCACATGAGGATGGAAACAGATAGGGTTTCCGAAACGCTGTGTTTCCTAGTCTCTAGAATACTGGACGATGGACAAAATCCAAAAAGCCAGTAATTCTTAGTGTTATACACCTTCGTCAGAACCCTTTACAATCTAGAAACGCGTATATACGAGTATGTGTATATTTTAAGAAATGCTCAAGTACAATGCAATATATCAATCATTTAGTGATACAATTATTTTCTCGCAGCCGGTTTTATAAGACAAAGTACCATTCAGTCAAATATTTGGTGTAAATTGCAGGATTCAGTCTGTGGTTAGTAGCGTCTGGAATTCACAGCGAAGCGTTTCTAGCAAAACTGAAGGTGCTAACGGCAATGCGCATACCAGAACAGCGCAATTACACAGCAGGCGAGGCGAGGAATTGTCCACGATTTATACTGAACTTCCTGTCAGTTGACAAAAAGCATTATTTAAGATTCTTCTTCCGAAACCACAGTTGGTTTTATGTGCTGAATGTTATAACTGTGTACATAATTTGTGACGATGTAAAACATTGACACTGGTTCTCATATTATGTAAGTAAGAAAGTCTATTGGCCTGAACATGGAGGCGATTACGCAGCTACAGAAATAGGCATACAGTTTCCCATAACACGGAGCTACCGACTGTACTGATTACTAAGTTTTGAGGTTTTCACGGCGATGACTATGAAGAAAGTCGTCTTCTGGGTTTAGGGCACGTGCATTCTTCATTTTGGCTGACGTTTCGGAGGAACGTATTGCCTCCATCTTCAGAGCA